CTCCGTCATCATCGCCATCATCATCATCATCGCCGCCGTCGTCGTCGCCATCTTGTCACGTGATGTTGATTTTCGAAGATGGTCAGAATACTGCGCAGGAGAAATTGTGCCGCGCTTCGAGAAAGTACGTCATCTACACGAGCGCCACGAGCAGCGTCGTCGTGTACGTCAAGCAGCAGCCACAGCAGCCACAACAAAAACAGCAGCAACAGCAGCAGCAGGTAGATTATTTCAATCCGACGGCGGAGATAGCGAAACTGAAAAGAAAGTTAATCGGGCATGATTCGGACATGAGTCCCATCGTTCTGCTGCAATATCAAGGTCAGTGACCTGATTAGTGCCATCTTAGTACAATTGATGTCATCTTAAATACAATTGATGTCATTTTAAGTACAATTGATGTCATCTCAGTACAGTGTAAAACTATTAATGTCACGCATACAGTATTAGTGTCATTGATGTAAATGAAATGTAGAGTCATCGACGTTTTTGAATGTAATGTTTTTTGTGTTTGTTGCATGTTACAGTCAACCAGCCTATGGATGCACCGATGGCTGGTTCCATCATGTTAGTGTTGTTAGGTTGAAAGCAACACTGCTTTACGTCATGCCAGCTTAAAACATCAAAACTAATTCCAAACAAACAATTGAAAATATTTTCATTATTATTTAAACAATCATTCTCATCATTATTTTATTATTTATATTGATTTCTCTTTAAATATTATTAATAATATCAATTAAGTGTCAATAATTTCCACATATCTGAATTAATAAATACATATATATATATATATATATATATATAAACTCAAATTAAATTATTAAATAATGAATATTAATTAATTTCGTCACGTGATCATAATTGACAACTGCACCTCCTCAGCCATTGGCTGTCCCACGTTAGCCCCGCCCCCAGGGGCCACAGTGACCTACACCAATGAGAACACGGCATCCATCAAGTGCAACAAAACGGAAGAGACCTGGTCCCTCTCGTGCGAAAGAAACGTATGGAGTGGCGACATCGCTAACTGCACCGACGTTCCAGAATTCAGTGGTGAGAATCGTTGATGGTGGTGGTGGTGGTGGTAATGGTGGCGGTGGTAGTGGTGGTGGTGGTGGTTAGTGGTGGTAGTGATGGTGGTGGTGATGGTGGTGGTGATGGTGGCTGGTGGTGGTGGTTCGTGGTTCGTGTGGTGGTGTGGTGGTGGTGGTTGTGGTAGTGGTGAGGATCGTCGTTTTTGGTCGATGTCTATTCTCAAATCATTCAGTTATTTTTGAATTTTAAAGTAACGACCGATGGCTGCAAGTTGGTTTTATAATTAATTCAGTTGAAATGAAAATCTAATCTTAAACTTGTAAATGTTTTATAGTTTTTCTCAACATTACATGAATATTTTTTTCTAAAATTTCTAATACAACGATGTTAAAAGCCAACCATAGAAAATATTTTTTGAAAAAAAAAACCTTAATCAAAATAGTTAAAACTCAACAGTACAGCACTACGTCCCCATCTGACCGGACATCTGACCAGCACTGCAGACTCATCAAAACCTTCCCTCGTCAAACTCTAGCGGCACAGAGCGCTGTTCAACCAACCAAACAAATGGCTCTCTCTTTACATCATTGTCTGCTAGATCACTGACCACTAATGGCCAGCTTAGAATACTCACACCTCGTAAAATCAGAAAGAAGAAACCGAAGACAGGAAATAAAAATTTATTTGTAACTTACATCCGCTTCTTTTAATTTTTACACAACACAACACTTCTTCCCATACTGTTTTTTTTCTAGACTTTTTTCTCCTCTTATTTTTACAACAGCAGCCATTTTGTGCGGGCGTAATAATTTTCACTTTGCCCGCTGGTGCGGACAATTCCTTTGTGTAGCTGGCCATGAAGATAGTGCCGTGAATGATTGCCCAAACCGCTTGCAAGCAGTCGACACGAGCGTTCCCTCCTTTTTCGCTAGACTTGCTTGCTTATTTATCACTAGGCTCCTTTTTGTTGACAGAAAACTGTGAAATTATTTTTAAATCAATAAAAATTAACGTCTAGTTTGTTAATCTGATATTATTATTTATTATTAATATTTATAGAAAATTATGAAATTATGAATTTAAAAAATAACCCACCCAGATCCGATGGGCAGAGACGCCAATCCGTTCGTATCAAGCTTCACGTACTTTCCATACAGTTGGCAGCTCTTTTATTTGAAAAAAAATTGCTATAGCTATTTACTATTTTTGGTAACGTCTTCAATTTAAAGGAAAATTACATTTATAAATATCATTAATATATATATGTTAATTATATATATATATATTTCTATTTATAACTATATATATATATATATATATATAATAACATGAAAACATAACAATAACTTTATTAAATAACATTAAGATTAGTAAATAACCATTACATTAATAAATAACCATAACATTAATATTAATAACAGTTGAATTAATAAGCCACAAAAACATTAATAAATAAAAATAACATTAGTAATCAACCATAACATTAATAGATAACCATAACATTAATAACGATGACGATAACATTAATTAATAACGATGACTCGTGTTCAGGTCTAGCTACTGCAGTAACAATTGGTGTACTTCTTGGCATAGTCGTCGGCTCGGTGCCTCTGGGTCTCGCTTATGCCTTCTTGAAGAGGTGTGTATGCGTAGTGTATAATGTGTGTGTGTGTGTGTGTGTGTGTGTGTGTGTGTGTGTGTATTAACGTGTATGTGTAGCGTACGTGTGTATAACGGGTGTGTATGAAAACATACATTCACACACCTACAAGTGTGTTTGTATTAGTCCGTATGGAATTGCTGTTTGTATGTTTGTATTCGCATTTATTTGTATTTATATATTTGTATTTGAATGTATGTGCGTGTGTGGGAGAGAGAGAGAGAAAGAGAAAGAAGGGGTATATTTTGTATGTATGTATGTATATATATAAATATATATATACATATGTGTGTGTGTGTGTATGTGTGTGTGTGTCTAAATGTGCGTATCAGTGAGATGATTTTATGAAATAGGTTGTTTGTGCATTAATTATTTATCCATGTAAAAAGAATGTAACCGATATGAGCATATTTTATTATCTGAGGTTAGCATTTTGCGCTGGTAGATACTGTGTGTGCGTGTGTGTATGCGTGTATGTGTGTGTTTGCGTGTGTGTGTGGGGGGGAGGGAGGGTTTATATAAATTTGTGTCTGTGTAACGTATTAAAATATAATATATATATTTGTTATATAATTACACACACATACAAACAGGAGTACGTACACACACACACACACAGACACACACACACACAGATATACACACACACGCACGCACACAGATACACACACACGCACACTCTCACGCACACAGTGTTTAATCTTTAATTGATCCCACAATTGAAATTTTCCAGGCTTCAGATAATCTTGCTTTTCATCGAGAAATTAATTTTCAAAATGAAAAAAAATTAAAAAATATTTTTTTAAACTTGTTTTTTTATTTTTTGTTTTGTTAAGAAAAATTTCATTTTAATCTCAACGCTTCTTGAGAAATCAATTCTTAGAATTTATTTACTGCTGCCAATTTATGATATCGTCAATTTTTTTGGATGTGAGCTTTTTACGAACGTTATAGATCTGCATTTTTAAATTGAAATAAATAAATATTACTGACCGACCCACCGACCAACAGACCGACCGACCGACTGACTGACCGACCGACCAACTGACTGACTGACCGACTGACTGACCGACCGACCGACCCACCGAATAACAGACCGACCGACCGACTGACTGACCGACCGACCGACCGACTAACTGACTGACCGACTGACTGACCGACCGATCGACCGACCGATCGACCGACTGACTGACTGACCGACCGACTGACCGACCGACCGACCGATCGACCGACCGACCGACTGACCGACCGACCGACCGATCGACCGACCGACCGACTGACTGACTGACCGACCGACCGACTGACCGACTGACTGACTGATCGACCGACCGACCGACTGACTGACCGACCGACCGACCGACCGATCGACCGACCGACCGACCGACTGACTGACTGACTGACTTATCGACTGACTGGCCGACTGACTGTTGAGTATGTTGAGTAGTCTACCTTGTTACTCTTTGGATTGTACGAATTACGAATATTATCTGTGATACTGTTTGTTCTGGTAAATAAAAAGTATTTCTGATTTGATTTGATACTCATTGTACTGGTGATAATAAAAATGTAGTAATACTAAACATTGTATCAGTAGAAAAAGTAGCAGTAGTAATGGTAAAAAATGCTGCAGGACTAGCAGTAGTATTAGTAGTAGTATTAGTAGTAGTAGTAATAGTAGTAGTAATAGTAGTAGTAGTAGTAGTATTAGTAGTAGTAGTAGTGGTAGTAGTATTAGTAGTACTAGTAGTAGCAGTAGTAGTAGTAGTAGTGGTGGTGGTGGTAGTAGTAGTAGTAGTAGTTGTGGTAGCAGAAAAAATATTAATCTAATATTTAGTCAAATTCTCATCAACTTCACACCATCGTCGTCATCATCATCGCCATTATCATCATCACCATCATCATCGTCGTCGTCGTCCTCATTATCGGCTCATTATCATAATAGTGAGAATGACTTTGGATGCCAATCCCACTGGAACATGTCAACAGCCGGCCCTTCGATCCATCCTTCCTTCATTCCTCCTCTTTTCATTTTTAAATTAATCTCTTTTTATTCACCGCGGATTGTGTGCCGGGTTTTTGGTCTTCCATCGTCCTTTTCAACCTTTTTTGATATCCTCTCTTTAAACTTTTTTCTAAATTTATTCTCGAGGGTTTCAAACATCCATACCGTCTTAAAATGGATTTCCAGCAGCCCCATTGGAAACAACAGCAATGTAAGTGTGTTTAAGACGTATAAGTGATGTTTTAACATGTAATGTTTGCTATGATATAATTACTACTTCGTCTATGGAAATGTCTCCAGGCTGTGCCGATCTATCTGAAAGGCTTTTTTGGATTTGTACAAAGTTGAAAAACGTGATGAGTCAAAACTTATTAATAGAAGTTTATAATTCCAGATTTGTTGTGAGATACCTCATTTCACGATTGTTGTAAGATACCTCATTTCATGATTGTTGTAAGATACTTCATTTCATGATTGTTGTAGGATACTTCATTCCATTATTGTTGGATTGTTGTGAGATACTTCATTTTATGATTGTTGGATTGTTGTAAGATACTTCATTCCATGATTGTTGCAAGATACTTCATTCCATGACTGTTGTAAGATACTTTATTCCATGACTGTTGTAAGATACTTCGTTTCATGATTGTTGTAAGATACTTCATTCCATGACTGTTATAAGATACTTCATTTTATGATTGTTGTGCCATCTACTGCACTCAAAAATTAATATTTTCCGACCCTCCAACCAACAAGACAGGCGCATGGTTCAACATGATCCGTCGCTGTTCTTTTCAAGAGTGTTTGTTATCGTTGCTGTCAGTTCAGATTTATTTAACAGAATTTAATTATTTTTGAATAGATGGCAGAATAATTTGCTTCCATATAAAAGTTCATGTAATGTTGTACAAATTTTTAAATTGGAAACACTTTAAAAAAATAGTCACCAAGATATTATAACGATTGTTGTGCTGACCCGAAGAGATTAATTCGTTTTAAAATAAATAATCATTTTATATTTCTGTGAAAATGATATCGTATTTACATTCGTGCATGTGTATTTAGACAAACAGCACACATATTCAAAATTTAAACATGCGAACACATACATTCAACATTTAAACATACAATCACATACATATTCAACAACAAAAACAACCAGAAGCATGAATGATGAAAATGAAATATGAAAGGGACCTAAGAAAAATGTCTAAGAAATGCGAAGTAGAATAAAAATGATAAAATATGAGAGAGAGAGAGAAAGAATAGAGATGGCAGGATGCAATGAAGACTTTGAGATCGCGGGTCTGACACTTTTGTTTTGTATATGCTTTGTATGCTTGAGAGCCCCTCTGACATCAACTGCCCTTGTTTTTTATACTTTATGGACTGATGCTGCTGCTGCTGATGCTGAGCGCTGGAAAGATGGCTGTAACGTTGTGATGATAATGATGATGAAGATGATGATGAAGATGATGACGATGATGAAGATGATGAGGATGATGAAGATGATGACGATGATAAAGATGATGAGGATGATGAAGATGTAATGATGACTATGGTGATGTAATGATGACGATGATAATTGAATGATGACGATGATGAAGTTGACAATGCTCACAAATAAAATGATCAAAATGATCTCGGACAAGATGATGATATTTTCCCATAAATTTTCTAAAATGTCTGATAAGAAATAATGACAATAATGATGACTGCAGATGAAAAAATGAACACAACCAGTGATGTAGATAGTGATTAAATGAATATGTTGCTAGTACATTCTAGGTACCGTACATGCAAACGATGTTCAAAGTACACCGTACTGCAGAGTACCGAACGATTCCAAGTGCTGGCACCTCTCATAAAGTATTTTTATTTACTCTTCGGTTTAGCTGGTTTTTATTGGATCTTGTGTCCGAGAGATCTGAATTTATATCAGCCCGTATTTCAATTTAGTGAGATTTTACTCTTGAAATGTATTTATTCACGACTGAAGCTCTTAGTAACCTATTTATGGTTTAGTGCTTTTTTTATCCTAGTGTATCACGGTTATATATTTTGATGACTCTGGTGTAAGTTTCATAAAATTCAATTTTTTTCTTTTTTTGGTTCAAACTTTTTTTGCATATTTCTTCCAGGCTTATTATTCACTACTAGTTAAATCAAACTGAAATGTTTTATCTGCTTTTTTTATTAAGGTCCAACATTTTACTGAATTTTGTGCTGATCTATTAGTAATAATTTGTAAAGTTTCAGACAAGTTCGTACCTTTTATGAGCATCTTAGAATCATTTTAACACGTTCCATCAGATTTTATCACAAGTATATTTGGTTAGGTTTTATAAACTTTTTATATCTTTTAACACTTTTTATAACTTTTTAAAAAACTTCTCATAAAGTTTCCTGATGACATTTTATCACCCCGCTCGCCATTTGATACTTTCAAAATTTCTTACGGCATATGATGGCTATCTCGTGAGGTGTCTGCCTGCTTTCTTGCCGAACTCTTCTCCCTTGTTTTTGTTTTATAGACATGTTTGTTTATAGACGTGTTTGTTTATACACGGTTTTCTGTTTTGTATACGTTTATATGTTTGTGTTTGTTTATGTTTGATTGTGCACATCTGTTACTTTGTTTGTAAGTTTATGCAGGACAAAAAATGCTCAGTATGCAAGCGTTTTTCAATTTAAATGTTTTCGACAGCCAATAGAAACTTGCATATGAGTTGAATGAAGATGGCGTTTTATCCAATTAGAAAATTTTTAATTAAGTTTTGAAGACGTTGAAATAAAATTTTTATTCACTTTCGATTTATTTTTCAGTTAACATTCATCTAATTTTACTGACGTGACTCGATAACGACAGACGTGGTTGCTTGAGACGTTGAGACGTGGTTGCTTGAGACATTGAGACATCGAGACATGGTTACGCTACGCTACATTCAGAATATCTGTCTCTACACAAAAACATACCTTTTTGAAAAAGAAGTTGTTCAAAAAAAAGAAAAAATTGTTTCAGAAATATTTTAGATGCGGATTTACTCTTGAACAAAAATTCTTCATCAGAATGTTATTAAAATAAAATTTAATATTCTTGCCAAGAACAGTAAAAATAGCAGAAGATGATCATGGAATCAAAAATATGTGAAGCTGGAAGTGCCTGTAAAAAGTTGAATGTATGCAAGAAAAAATTAAGAAGCATTAATAAGGATGGATTGAGTGTATTGAAGACATGCTGGCATCAAACGAAGAACACTAACATACAAAAATTCAGAATGTATGGACATTTGTGTGTACTTATGCACAACTTTGCACTAACTAAAAAATTGTACCCATGCACTGGAAGCCGCCCAGATGTAAACATGCAAACAAGTAACAAGCAAGGTACACATACACGTGTATATTTTTGTTAAGGCATTCGTTAATGCACGCAGCTTGGGTCGTTAATGTCAAGGACATGACTATTTTTAAGTTAATGTAAATTTTATGCACGCATTAGCGAGGACATATAAACCGAAACGCAGCGAAACACGCAAACTTGAACACGAACGCTCGCGGAGATTCACAGGCGCGCGCGCACACACACACGTGAGCTGAGCACTCATTGAAACATAAACAAAGCGATAAACACAATTATAAACATACAAATATACAAACTCATAAAACATTTAACGGACTCAACCACTCACTTTCACACACACACACGCACATACACGCACGCACGCACACACACAAATGCGCAAACAGAAAATGGCACAAATCCGGCAACAACTCAGACCTACAAGGCCAACACAACAACATCAACAACCAGTACAACAACATCCGCCCCAACAAATCTCTCGTCTTCACCGAGCAAGACGACAACGACGACAACTTCATTGAGCTGCAGCAGCAACACCACCACCACCAACAACAACAACAACAACAGCAACAACTTCAGCAACAATTGTCAACGTGCTTGCCAGTGCGTCTCAACTACTCACAACAGGATCAACTGCAACAACAGTATTTTCAGCAGCAGAGGTTGGTAGACGCGATTGAGTGCGGCTGCTACGGCACCCACTTCCACCACCACCACCACCCCATCATTCCTGCTGACTCTTCAAAAAGGTTTAAGATGGATTTTTTCTACTTTTGCAAGATTTTTCATCTTCTCGGCGATGGTTGAATTTATTTTGTAAAGTTATTCTTATTTAAATAGGAAGCTTTGCGATTCTACATTTAAAATTTTTTTATATAATTTCAAAAAATTTGTGGAGAGAGTTTCCACATTTCTTTTCAATAAAATTTTCCAAATACCTTTACGACTTGGTGGTTCATTGAAAGAAGAAGGTGATGACGATGTTGCTGTTGATGTTGATAATGATGATATGAATGGTAATGATGATGATGATGCTGATGACGACGACGACGACGATGATGATGAAGATAAAAATGAGGATGATATGATGATAATGATTATGACGAAGATAAAATTTTCAGTGATGATGACGGTGTTGATGATGATAATGGTCATATAGATGCTGACGACGAAGATGAGGATGATGTTGATTATGATAGTGATAAACTTTTAATCAGAAATAGTTATCACCATCAAAAGAAATTCTCACAAAAACTTTAAAAACCCGCCATCTTTTGAACGTAAATAAAATATTTGTAAAAAAATTCAGTGGAGATGTAGCCAACGAATGGTATTTGGAGCTGGATTACACCCCGAAAATAAATTTTTGAAAATTTCAATTATAAAATTATTATGAACCTTTGGGGTAAAAAAGATTCATGTATGAAAAATTTGCAACTTTCCATGTTATTTACTGGCTGATGGGGGGGGGGATATTCAGTTAGTGATTTTTGTTTTCCAC